AGTACTAAAATTAATTTTTAATTCTTTTAAAATAAATCTACAGTTCAAATAAAACTCTAAGTCAAAAAGTTTTGTTGTTATCCCTGGCAATACTGCTAAAAACTTGACCCAACCTGCAATTACGCAGATATTTATATTCCAAAAGATTGCAAAAAATTTGGCCAAAATTATATTTAGCGGCTATTGGGAATAAATAAAATGATTTAGAAAATAAATAACAAGCCTTCACATTAGGGGTACTACACAAGTATACATATCATTTCAAGTAATATATGACTTTATTTAAAATCCAATATCAAACCCACAGAGAAAGCTATAAATTTTTTAAAAATGACTTAGAAAAACTTCTATCTAATTTGTAGATAAAAATGATTGGAGAATAGTGTCGAGATATTTGTAAAAGATTAAAATTAAATTTATGTGCAATCTAAATTTAAGCAGAAAGTAAAAATAAACGTTAAAAGTTTAATAAAGTTTAAAATACTAGTAAAGTTTAGAAGAGTTTGAGTATTAAGATAAGAACTTTCCCCTTTGTAACGAGATCTTAATCAATGTAGGAATTTAATGATTAAGAACATGAGATGATGTATTGTGACAAATATGAGCATATTTATTCTTTACCCCCTCTCAATACTAGCAAAGAACATTGGCTAACCTTAAGTTTATTTCAGCTTGTGTAGTAGTGCTAAGTAGATTCTAGTCTCTTTCTTCTAAATTACCTACTAGAGACTCTTAGATCCAAATTCAAGATCGAAATGATACAAGAATCTAGCTTGTCACTATAGAAAAATCAATTCTATGCCCATCAAAACTTATCTTCCTATCTATTTGCACGTCCCCTCGGACGATTGCGATGACTCTATCCAAAATTAAGTGTGGTACTCACTAGTTGAGTGAAATCATAGCCCTCCCAAGTCATTATGTTTTGCGATAGATTTTAACATCACAAATGACCAGTTTGTAAAGTCAATGAAAAATCGGTGAAAATATCATAACAAATTTCAAAATAAAAGAAAATCTTTAAATCATTATCATGCCACATGATTAATTCCCATGTGTAAGGAGAAAGAAAGAAAAACTACTCAAAATTCATGGATATAACACAAACACATGATTTGTATTGAAAGTCAAATCTTTACAACAAAAACTCAAACATAAATACAAAGTACCTATCTTAATTCTTCTCCCCAAGCAGGTCCTGAAGTTTCCTTCAAGCTATTTCCACTCTCTTACACAATCAAAGACTCATAAACACTTACACACACTCTCACCGCTAAGAGCTCACGCACCTTCTAGAGCCTCTCTAACCCTCTTCAAAGCCTCTTTTTCATTCAGCCATTGACCTTTTTTGATAGATTTTTGAAAATAACCAAGGTTCACTTCAATTATCCCTTCAAAATTCATCCCACTTTATTGCATCTTCTAGAGAAAGCACTTCTGAAGCTATGACACCACTTTGGGGCACTATGGTGCTCATCACGTCCTTGAACTGGCGCTAAGGCGTCATATGATGTTTTGTCATTTTGCTCCATTTTACCCTCATTTTCTTTAAAGATCCATTTCTTATACCTGAAACCAAAAAACATGCAAAATACCTTCCTTTAAAGTGCAATATCATTAAAAATGTGCATAAAATGAACATTAAATGTATATTAAAAACATGTAATTTTAAGGTGTATCACGTATTGAGTGCACCCCTTACTGCAGCAAGACGACATCTACAATTGAAAGTTCTTGCATTCATAACCTACAATAACGGTAATGTAAAAGGGGGCATTTTCTTATACACATCATACTTTAATCATTCTTTTTTTCATTATTCCAATGTTATATGTGTGTTGTTGTGTAATAGTTGTGTTATAAATGTGTTATGGTTGTGTTATGACTATGTTATTGTTGTGTTATATATGTGTTATTATTGTGTTATATGTCTTATAGTTGTGTAAGTGGTGTTATTGTTATGTTATTACGTGTTAAAGATGTATTATTGACATTATTGTTGTGTTAGTATAGTAATAACACAAGTAACACAACAATAACACAATTATAACACCACCATAACACATCTATAACACAACCATAATACAATAACACATCTATATCACAACTATTACACAATAATACAACAATAACACAATCATAACACAACCATAACATATTTATAACATAGCTATAACCCAACTATAATACAATAATACAACAATAACACAATTATAACACATTCATAACACAATGCAACAAAATTTCTTTTCATCTATAATAAACAATGTAGTATAATGCCTTGAAGACTTTGACAGACTGCTAGCTTCATCGGTTTCTATGCGACCTTCCATTGTTGTGTGCTAGCAAGAGAAAAGGAAAACCAAAACCTTGAACCATAGGGTTGTCAAAGGATGCAATGCTCTAATGTATAAACACAAGGTCTTGCGCAGAAGAAAAAGTGAAACTAACTTTGCATAAAGTTGGAAGAAGACAAAACTGGCCTTGCAAAGAGAAGCGAAGAAGGAGAAACCGTCAAACCCTCGCTCTTGCGCTGAAGAGGAAGCAAAACCGCCAAAGAGAAAGTGAAGTAGAACGCTCAAAACCACTAAAAGCTGAAAACTGCATATGATCAAAATGTCGAAATATGCCATAAAAGTACTTTATGTCTGAATTGACGTTTCGTCAGACTAGATTCGGGCAGGGTTTGTATGAAAAAAATACATATTTTAAATTTTTTAGGTGTTGAAATTTAGAATAATACGTAATAAAGTGGAATACTTTATTTGATATGAATGAGGGTATAAATAACCCTTACAAGAAGCTTATAACATGAAAAATAATAAAAAAAATGATATGAAAGGAAAGATATATCACCTGATATCTCTAATAATTAATTCATATTAATTATTAGGAGATATAAGAAATAACATAAAATAAGAAAACAAATAATTTCTGATACAAGGAAATAAATGTAAAATAGGAAAGGAAATATCTCCTTATATTAAGGAAATAATTTATTCCTCGTAACTTCTTATAAGAATAAATTATTTCCTATTATAATTCCTAACACTCCCCCTCAAGTTTGGAATGTATGTTAATAATTCCTAACTTGCTGAGTAGTGAAAAAAATTGGTCGTTTGGATTATCGAATTTGCTAGATTCAGGCTTGACTGAATTTTGAATTTTGTCTCTCATATGTTTCGGCCTATCAGGCTTTGACACTCTTAGGATTCAACACTCTAGGGCTTTGGTATTTTCAGGTTTCGACATTCTCAGGGTTCAACACTCTTAGGCTTCGATACTCTCGGGGTTCGGCACTCTTTGGTTTCTGTACTCTTGGGCTTCGGCATTTTCAGGCTTCAACATTTTCAGGCTTCGGCACTCTGAGGCTTCGACACTCTCAGACTTTGGCATTCTCAGACTTTGGCATTTTCAGACTTTGCTAAATTTGCTTTATTCAGACTTGGCTGAATTTTGAGTTTTGCAGGGAAAGAAACGGAAAGAGACAACCTACAAAAAAACTGACTTTTAGTTGACATCGGTTGTCGTTGGCTGCAGAAAAAACATATAAATCACACCCAGTAAATTCTGCTGATAGAGAAAGCGGCACAAGAAAGGGCGGCTGGAAACAAAGCTCCCCCTGACGCTTGGGCCGGGGAGGAAAAAAATACTGTAGGAGAAATGGCCGGCTAGAAATGCAGATCCCCGTGATGCTTTGGTAGAGAAGAAAAAAAATATATTGAATGAGAAATGGTCGGCTGAAAACACAGCTCCCCCTGACGCTTTGACAGGGAAGAAAAAAATATTGCAGGAGAAATGACTGGCTGGAAACGCAGCTCCCCCTGACGCTTGGGCAGGGAAGAAAAAAATACTACAGGATGAAGGGTCGGCGATGGATTTTGCCGGCATTATTCGATCCACGACAACGATATGGTGATGAGGGGGGTGGCGGCATCGCTGGTGTCGCCCTGGCTGGAGCCCCATCGCTGGTGCAGGCATAGGAAGATACAACACAAGAAGTTTTTTTTTTTTGATGGTTTGTGGTGATATCTGGTCAAACTCCAAAGCATCTTTGCTGTCATGGTTTCTTGGGAGCCGTGTATAGAAGTGAAGTAAGATCCCCCAACTTTCTGAAAGACCTTGGAGAAGGAGAATCCTCCAAAACATCAGTCTGTGCATTTAGTCGGATCTGAAAAAGTTAGGAATGCGGTGCAGATGGTTCCTCCCCATCGTCGGCTGCGGTATGCTGACTGAAGGAGTCTCCGATCGCAATCTAGCTTGCAAGGAATTAGCCGCATTGGTAGGCGGAGGCTTGACGACTGCTGAGGTTGATGCCGATGTGCGGACGCGGAGAAGGCGATAAGGATAACGCCTCTGGTTCGAACTCTGAGGCAGCATCGAGATCGAACTACGGGAGCGCATCTTTGTGATTCTTTCAATGGCTTCGGTAACTAAACGAGGTGGCGGGGAATTAAGGATTTAAAGAACAAGAAAAAGTCGTCGTTTCAAATATGAAGATGAATGTCGCTCCCTTCCTACACAGAGGATGACAGGAAAGGAGTCCGACAATTCTCACAAGAAAACCAGTGGTTAGGGTACGAAACATCGCTCTGATACCATGTTGAAATTCAGAATAATACGTAATAAAGTGAAATATTTTATTTGATATGAATGAGGGTATAAATAACCCTTACAAGAAGCTTATAATAGAAAAAAATAATAAAAAAAAGAAAATGATATGAAAGGAAAGATATATCACCAGATATCTCCAATAATTAATTTATATTCAATAATTATCACCAGATATCTCCAATAATTAATTTATATTAATTATTAGGAGATATATGAAATAACATAAAATAGGAAAAAAAATAATTCCTAATCCAAGAAAATAAATATAAAATAGGAAAGAAAATATCTCCTTATATTAAGAAAATAATTTATTCTTCATAATTTCTTATAAGAATAAATTATTTTTCATTATAATTTTTATCATTGGAGCCGATAATTTGGGCTGGGTCATGATAAATGAGTATTTTTTTAACTTTTTTTTTTAATAGGACCATGGGCTTTTCTGATTGTGGGGAGTCCGAGCGTAATATTGTGGTCGACAGCCATCGCCACACTTACATTCGCTGGCTCGCTGCTGCTAGATTCTCGGACTTACCTGAATTGGCAGATCTTTGGAATCAGTTTATAAAGCTGTATGGAACTTGTGAAAGATCCGACGGTCCACATCGGCGGTCGTCGAGTTCTATCAGTATGGAGAAGCAGGGTGCTGGTTTTACTAAGTTTTAATTCCTCCATGCACCGAACCCACCTGCAAGAGATTTTGATGGAATTTCAGAAACTGAAATTAGTAAAGCATTTAATATGAAGCCTCCTTATTTCAAGCCCAAGATTTCCACAAAGAATTCCTCATGGAATCTCGTTCTTCCAAGCCCAAGAACTTTTCGAAGCTGCCGATTTACTTGGCCGAATCCCAAATAAGCGAGCAGGTGCGGTTGGGAAGAAGATGAACATGTATAATGTTGGAGACGGCTTGCAGTCGTCGATACGGTAAATCTTGTTCGCTGCAAATGGAAAGAGCCGGTCTTCGAGGCAGACCGAATGGTGAGGAAACCGGCCGACGATCGCCTGGAGAGGCATTCGGTCGTCGAGTTTTCGCGTGACAATGAAAACGTCGAGCCAGAAACGGCGGGTTAGACGTCTTTGCGTGACAGAAAAGCAGAGTGCTTGTTTGGGATTTTGACTTCTTCACGAATGGAAGGGAGCCCTTGCCATATTTGGTTCTCGTAGGTTGGAGTGGTAGTTTTGAATGGGAAATAGGCGAGTGGGAAGATGGGTTGTTGATGAGTTGCACGTGGAGAGGGATACGAATGCCAGAGTTTCGGTCTTTTCCGGCGTCTTTTTTCTCCATTAGAGATGGTGTTGTGCTTCTCCAATTTTTTGACCCATCTTATTCTACAAGCTTGTTCATGAGAGCCAAGTGTCTCCTCATATATCATAAAGTCCTTTGATATGAGAGGCAAAAAAGTTTAAAAATTTATATATTTAGTCTCGCTTTAAACATAAAAAATAAAGAACATTTGAGTCCATTTATTTTCAACCATTTATATAGATCATTTTTTAGCACACTTATAAATTATTTTTAATACAACAATTAATATGTTATAAAATGTGATCAGACATTCATTTAAAATAAAGAGAAAATATATATAATGGTTATCGGCCCTTAAAAAAGAACATTTAGAGATACTCCTAATTCCCTAGGCATTCACCAATCTACTCCTACACATTTAATTATTGCACCTAAATTTTTTATAACTAAAAGTATGACTATTTTAAATTAAAAAAAAAATTAAAATATGTAAGATATATAAATGCATAAAATATGTAATTTACTCAGTTATATTTTAATTTCATATTAAAAAAATTAGATGAGTGAATCTTTACTCTGTTCTAATTTTATTATTCTAATTTTTTGTTGCGAACAAGTTCCCAGCTCCGTTATGCGGCAAGGGTTCACAATTCACATCGAACCTTACGGTGAGTTCACGTGGCCGCGCGTGTGGTCCTTCGAACTCCTGGCGTGGTGACGTTTGGATAGGCTGGGCATGGGATGGGCACGGGCCTATTTTCTCATCAAATTAATATAAAATTGGCATTTTATTCTGATTTGATTAGAGCCATTAATTTTTCAAAAATATTTTCTTTTAGTACATACTAAGATACATCATCGTAATCTCTTATTTCACTAATTTCTTAATTGAAGTTGATAAAATTCTTCTGACCATACTGGAATCTTTTGCAATTGTTCTTAGATTTTCGATGCAACTTTTGATTACTTTTTTAATTTCTCTTAACGTTTGTTTAGTAATTACATCATCCAATGCTTTTTAATTGAAAAAAAAAAATTTGTGGTTGTCAATTCCCACGTTTTGCCAAATCTCGAGCTGTGAGCGAGATCAGCCGATTGCATACGAGGACGATTCTCTTGATCTTATCCATCTCGCATTCGTTGGATGCAACAACGCAGGATGGATCACCCCGCCACATACGACCCCACCCACGTGGCCGCTCACAGATCGAAGATCATTAAGGAAGATTTACGCATATGTCGTTCAAATCTTTTTTATTTACACATCTGGCACATAAATTTTAATTTTTATGTACATTTAACTTATTGTATTCACTTTTTAAAAATTTCAATGATGATAAATATAATTTAGATGTGATATGAAATATTTGGCTGATATAAATATTAAAATTAAAATTTAGATGTTAATTATGTTAATACAGGAATTGGGTGGCATCTATGCAAATGTAAATGCCCATTTTTATAATTTTTTTTCTTAAGTTTGTATACTGTCATCAATAATATTGTAAATATAGTTTTTTTTGTTTAGTAACCATTTCATTTAAATGATATAAATGTTATATGTCTTTAACTAATCTTTTATTAGTTAAAGACATATAAATGTTATATGTCTTTAACTAATTTTGAAATTCACAATGTGATCATTGGTGAGAGTTTTTATTTATATCAATTACTTCTCAATTCATAAAGTATATTTAAAACTTGAGAACATTTACCAATATTAAATAAATTAAAATGCAAATTACATTATTTTTTTATAGTAAAGTTTCCAACCAACAAATGGTCGAATCTTATATTTGAGAAGAACGGTCGAGATACAACGTTGCTTTGATTGTTGATCTGCGGTTGTCCCACTTTGCAATATCCTTTTCTCCCATCTCTTTGGTTCAGTAGAAAGAAAAATTATTATGTCCATTCGTTCGTAGTCCAAAAAAATCACGTCACGTGGAAGTCACGTGGAAGTGATAGAAAAATAAAAGAAAATTTGTTCTAACGTAAGAGAATATTCTCCACTATTATTCCACGTTATTCAGGTATTTTTGTGGTGGTATTCATGTATTATTGTGTTATAGAAATATTCCCGGTGTTATAATAACACAATAAAACGTCAATGGCACAGCAATAATACTTGAATAACGTGTAATAACACGGGAAGAATATTCTCTTGTGTTACCGATTGTGATCACAAAAAAATAATTTTTTTTTTTCATATTAGCTCCACGTGAAGGTGATTCATTGGATTCCGGACTAAGCAAATTACATTCTTCAACTATCACATGACCCAATTTGGCCAATTTTATCATCTTTGACCAAAACCCCCAAATTGCCCTTTAAAAGCCCATATTTTTCCCAAATTACCTCAAATGTCTATCCAATAGGTCTCAATTTACCCTAATTTCAATTTTAAACTCAAATAAACTCTTGATGTGACCAATATAAACCAAATATAAGCTCAATTAGTCCATCATTTGAACTTAATTTTAAGTTTGACCAAAAACCCTAATTTTCGCCCCATGACTTGGCCCATGACTTGGTTCCGCCAAATTGAACCCATGGCCTACTCCATTTGCCAAAATTTGTGTTAAAAAACCTTGATAACATCTCCATACATAAAAGTTGACCTTCAATTGGCCTTGGTGAGGCCTCAATTTTATTGGATTTCAACCTAAGTCCAAAAGGCCCCAACTTTGCCCCAAATTGGCCATGTCTTAAAATCTCACCAAATTGATGGCCTTAGCCCCAAAATTTCCACTCCATCCCTTCATGAAAAATTTTCAAAACATCTCCCTTGATAATTTGAACGATTCAATTTGGACTTAGCCCGAGGCTATCCCAACCTAGACCCATGTCTAGCCCAACATGCCCAAATTGACCTAATTTCAAAAATCCTTCAAATTAAACATCCAATTGAACTCAAAAACACTTGAACCCTTCACCAAAATTATTTATTATGATCATCTACACCAAATGAAACATTTACTTAGGCTAATTGACATGGCTAGACTAGCCAAAACCCAAGTTTTAATCATTGGCACCCACATGGACCCATGCACTAAACATCAACAAACCACGTTAAAGAAATCAAATTAACTCCACCTCAGCCATTGGTTAGACCCTAAGACTAAGCCAAAACCTTTCTAACTCAAGCTAGATGAGCCATGGACCAAAAGTCCCCAAAATTATGGGATCTTATTTCCAAAAATACACATGCTTAAGATACCCTTACCAAAACTATACCCCATTGCATTAAATGACTTTGACAGATTCCCCTGGATGCCCTGAGCACCTAGCCACCTCCCCCTACCATGGTCGGTCAGCCTATTCATCGGAGAAGTTTAAAACTAAGAGCCACCCCTATGGAACTTCACCCAAATCAAACCTAAAGGTCAGCTCAGCCAAATTAAATTGTATAGCTCCTCTGCCCTCCACCTAAGCAGCACAATGCACCCCCTAATTGGCCATGACAGCCACACCTTCGCCATTTTTATGAAAAGCACCTCCCACGACCATGGGATGTGGCGTTGAAAATTTCTTAGAGAGACCTCTCCAAAAGAGACCTCTCCAAACAGAGAGACCTCTCCAAACTGACCACGGAGCTTCCCTAAGATCCCCTCAGTGCATTCCAACTATTTTCCCTCACCAATTTTCACTGTCGAAGTTCAATTTTGAGCTCAAAATCTTGTTGGAAACTATGACAGAGCCCAATACACCTCCACAGTCCACCAAACTCAAATTAACTTCACCCACACCTTCACAACAGTGAAAGAAGCTCAAGCCTCATCAAATTCCCCTCTCACTGAGCCTCTACCATAGCTCTAGACCAAAACCCAAATCCGGTCATGATCAAAATCATACCTAAGCCTTACACCAATACCAAAGACTCAATCCCTAGTCTCTTTAGATCACAAAAAACGTGCCAAGACTCTCTGATCAAAGCTTCACTTCTCAGAGCAAAGGTTTAAAATTTCTCCCCCTCTCGAGCCTCTTTTGATTCTCCATTTTCTTAAAGTTAATTTGATGGCTTGATCACCTTATGGATGTGTTCATCTAATCTAGATGAGCGTTTTAAAAAAAAAACTTCATCCAATTTGGTTAATAAATGAGAGAGATCTTAAGGTTAGAAGATGGATGGTTCTCGGGCTAGGCGCGCGTATATCGAATTGACGGTTGAGATGAAGCCGGACAATGCTTCCTTACACAAACAACGGGATGTGTGGCTGCTTATGTGGATGGCGACGTCAAATGCGAGTGTGCCGCGTGGAGTTCGGAGCTGTCTAGAAGGTGCCTAGGTCTACATGGCGTCACGCTGTTTAAATAGATAAATATGGATTTTTCATATTTATTTAAACACCCCTAACTTCAAAAATTCATATCTTGGTGTAGAAAAATCATAAAAATAAAATAAAAATACTCTCTTGCTTAGTGAACAGAGGAGAACAATGTGGAAATGATTTGGAGTCCATTTGATGCATATTTTATTTTTTTTAATTAAACACTGATTTGAATGTTTTGATTCTCCATGCATATAGATAGGAATATCTCCATGGCTTGAAATTTTAGTATGTTGTTGCCTCTATCTTAGGGAACATACTCTAATATTTTCAAAGTCATAGGAGGTCCCTAGACAGAGATCCATATTTTTCAAGTTTATGTCTATTATTTACATAAATTAATCATGATAATTAGTATGTTGCGTAGAAAATTCCAAAAAAATTTTGAGAGGTTCAACATGACTAGAGGATCCTTTAGAAATAATTTCATGAGTTAAGTCATTCAAAATATACCTAATCTTTACCAACCCTAAAACACAAAGAAAATTAATTTTTGGTGATACAAACAACAAAATGAATTGATTTTTATTCTTCGTTGTTGCTTAGAGTCCAGAAAACTCACCATAAAAATTTTAAAGTATTTTTAGTTCATTTGATGGCCTAAGTTATTTTTTAAAGACAAATATCATTTTAACACTTAAATGATTTTTAAAAAATTAAAATATAACTCAAAAATTTACAAAAAAACTTGTTTTTGAGTTCTCTATGATCAGGGGTATTTTATAAAAATAAAATGGAGTTTAAAATAAAAAATTAATTTTTAACCTATTTTAAATATTTA